GGCGAACGCAGCAGCCAATTTGGACACGGCAGTGCCCCACAAACAGCCACAAAGTCGATGGCCCAATTTTACCCGGTTGAGTGTTGGCCGGGAACGCCGGGAGAAATTTCCTTCCGCTCTTCGAAGTGTGCCAGTGGGATCTTTGACATCCACCCGAACAGGCAGATGGCGTTAACCGTCTCATCCAGACACTCCTCCGCACCCACAGCTTCACGTTGTCCTCGTACACAATCTTAAGTCCCGACGCGAGGCTCGAACCCACAACCTTCCGATTCGGAGATGTGAGTGTCCCCAACCGAGCCACTTGCCACGAGGGTTGACTGTGGGGCACCAGAACGTTGCCAGGTCAGTGGTAATGCTACATCAGGTCAGAGCCAGGGTTATGTAAGCGCTCTGTGGCCCCCGGAGCCCCTATAGCATTCCGCTTGACTTGTAACAAAAAAATTACACAGCCCAGCTGTGACCCAAGAAGCATTAAATAAATCCCCCATCAAACTGCCTTCAAATGAGATTTGAACCCAGGCTCTGCCTGTCTCATATTGTGACGCAGACAGGTGTTAAAAGTCCCTTGTTGGACTCTCTCCACGGCTGCCCGGATCCACAGTCACTCCGTTCCCCAGTAAATCCCGTGAAGCGCTTCGAGATGTCCTTTCAAGCTACATCAAAACGCAAGGGGTATTATTATTCAGTGATCTCAAACAGATTAGCCCTAAATAACCTTCTCCCCGGTGAAGTAGATCCCAGAATGGCCATTTATCAGTGTGTTCTTCCCCCCACCTTTCCATTTTGCTAACTGGACATGTCTTGCTCCCAGTCTATCACCTCTTCCTCTTGATTAACACGGATAAACCAAATCTAACCCTCCAACACCAATCTCCGAGCATTCAGATACCAAAGACTGTATCAAACCCACAGCGATCAGCGTTGCTAAAGGTAACGCTGTTCCTGGCTTGATGTTGTTCCTGTTTACTAGTTGTACAAAGGCCTTTGACAATAACCATAATAAATAGTTAATCCTTAGATTTGATAACAGCTCTTTTACGACGCGAGGATATCTCAAAAGTGCTTCACAGGAATTTACTGTAATTTTTTGGGTTACAAGTCAACCAGAATGCTACCCAGGCTCTAGGGGCCAGACAACACTTACATAACCCCGGCCCTGACCCGATGTAGCATTGACACTGATCTTGCAACGTTTCTGGTGCCCCACAGTCATCCCTCTTGGCAAGTGACTGCGTACCTTGCAGGCAGAGTAAAAAGTTGCACGATGAGCAACCCGCAAAAATAGAACGCCTCAGTTAGAAGAAGGGCAGGGATTTTTTTTCCTGACCAATGTCCCTCCCTCATCCCAAATGTTATCGTGTAGTTTAATGTGCAGAGAACCCGCTGGGGGTGTAAATTTAGCCAAATGTTTTTCTTTTTTTTTAAAAAAAAATGTGGAGCATCATTTTTCTCCCATGTTGTTGAGGTGAGAGCCCCTCTGAGCTCCCACAGACAGGGCCGGTCCTCAGTAGATTGGCAGCACTTAAATGGCGCAAATTTAAAGCACCAAAGGATTCCCGATAGCAATAATTGTAATCCTTTCAGTTGAACGCAACGGCCAACTTGTAGCAAGATCCCACGAAAGGCCACAAAGTCCTGTGGAGTCCTGTAGCTCAGCGGTCAGAGAACCCGCCTCGCGAGCGAGAGACTTGGGTTCGATTCCCGGGCAGAGGGCGAAACGTTGGGCAAGTTTCCTTACTCCACTCGCCTCTGTTTACCCGGCAGTAACGGCAGCAACCGCAACTACATGCACTTGTGTAGCGCCCTTCAAGCAGGGCAGCGTCTCAGAGCGCTTAACAGTGGCGGAGCCTGACTCCGAGCCGGTGGTGGTGGTGAGGGAGGCGGGGAGAACCTGGTTCTTAGTCGATTGGCGGGTGGCTTTTCCGGGGGTGATAATTCCCTCAAAAAAGAATAATAATAATAATAAATTGGTCACTTCAATCCACGACTGTTTGTGGGACGCTGCTGTGCGCTATTGGCTGCCGCGTTTCGCCCACAAAGTATACAGTATATTCTGTGAAGCGCTTTGAGACGTCTCGAAGATAAGGCGCTGTATCAAATGCAAGGATTATTATTATTATTATTATTATTATTATTATGCTGATGAAGTGAATGACAAATCTATCCGGAGGATTTTTGCCGAGGGGAACACCAGGAGAAAGCCTTTCGTTTCCCCAAGTCGTGGCCTTGGACCCATCGTGTCCGCCTGAAAGCAGGTAGATAGCCCCTTGGCTTAAAAATCAATCAGAAATCTCATTCGAAAGACGACACCGCCAACAATTTCACCACTGCAGCGTCTTGTGGCTTGAACCTCACAACCTTTTAACCCAGAGAATTAATTCTCTGGCACAGTCGGTCAGTCGGTCAGTCAGTCAGTCAGTCAGTCAGTCAGTAAGTAAGGCTGAATCTAATTCTACAGAATTCAAGGGTATTACTTCTTTTTAAAGCGAGATTTATTCGATTTTTTTTTTTCCTCCATCCAGGGGGAAAAAAAAAAGCCCCATCATACGTCAATGATCTTCAGAGCAGATACTGGCCTTTTGTTCTTTCGGTCATGGGTTTAGTCACGCTCCCCGTATTGGACTGACTGATGTGCTATGTTTTCTCTTCTCTTTGCCCGTCATCGAAGGTAGAGAGACGGATTCTGGTCTCTCCGCGATTTTCAAACCAAGGGAAAGAGAGGGGAGTTTGGAGTTATCTTTGCCAGCTCCAGTGGAGGAGACACGACGAGAGTTGAATCAGCTTCTTCGCACAGCTGGAATGTGGAATTTTCCGCTCAAACCGTGTTTGAGGGAAGAGTCCATCAATACTTTAAAAAGGGAATTAAATAGACGCTTGAAGGGAAGGATCGTTAAAGGGTGTAGGTGAGCGGGGATTGGATTTAGGGAGCTCATGTCAAGAAAAACACCAGCGCAAGCAGATCTGATGGTCAGAATGTGCAGTCCAGTCTCTGTGTCGTTATGTCCTATAATGGACCAAGTGGCTTCCCGGTAATCCGTCATTTCCGTTACACTCGGAGCACTCGAACACTGTGGAACCGTTCCGACTATTCCTTTACCCTTTTGTTGTTGCGTGTGTTTAAAGAAAGCATATTTGCCTTTCACAGTGCCTCTATCAACTGCATTTCCACTCCCAAGCTCACAGCCAAACGACGCCTGGTGTTAGCAATCAGTGCCTGATGGATGAGTGTATCTTGTGTACCAGGCAGCGGCTGAGGGTTCGGACTATTTACCAAGGATTTCCCAGAGAGTCAAGTTTCACAGATTTTTTTTTATAAAAAAAGAAAAACGTTTTCCGAATTAAAACTGAATTTAAGAATTTTTCAAAATTCTGCGCAGTTTTAAAGTGAAGGCAGATTCAATTGACCTTTTTTTTCCTGCATTGGAGTCTCAAGTTTAGATCTTAAATTCCCACTGTGGGACTCAAATCCATAATTTTCAGAGGGAAGAGAGTTACCAACTGAGCCAAACTAGAACCTCACGACAGGAAATTTGGGACTACTTCGTATACACATCATATACCTCGATCAATTTGGTTAGAGCTCTGCCTTTGACTTTAAGCAACGCTAAAACAGTATGGATTTGACCCTTGGTTTGCGAAAGCACTCATGAATGCACTCAGCAGGAACTCGACTGCCATACATTAGTTGTGAAGTAAAATAGGAATTCAGCGCAACGAGACAGACCCGCATCTAAAGGCTGCCGTTGAATTTGTGACACACTACATTTCTTCACGGGATTCCTCAATAAACTGTCCGAATCGTTCAAAACGTGGGATTAACTTCTGGTAAATGAAAGCATTTCGCAGCAAACTGCAGGGTCTTCACTCAGTCAACTTCGGAGCTGTGTTCGGAGTCAGCGAGAATCTTACAAACTTAACAAGGAATTCCATTACAAAATATCCCAACACAAACCCCAGGTACTTATTCACCGCGAATGGACCCCACACCAACCAATTTTACACCTAGGAGAACTTTTACACTGCAATACATCACACTCAGATATTCCCCCTCCTCCTCTCTCTCGCTCTCTCTCTCTCTCTCTCTTTCTCTCGCTCTCCACAAGCACAGAGGTAATTGAGGCAGAGCTGGCAACAAGGTGACGTACTCGGTCGTGGGATATCGGAATCAAACCACAACTTGCATTTACGTCGCTCCCTTCACACAGGACCAGGGTCTCGCAGCAGTGAGGCGGTCCCGGTGGTCCTGTACCAGACCAGGCCAGCCTGGCTCATCAGCTTGAGGGGCAAACTAATAATAATCCCTCCAAAAAAACAAAAACAATAATAAATTGGTCATTTTCAATCCACGACTGTTTGTGGGACATTGCTGTGCGCGATTGGCTGCCGCGTTCGCCCACAAATATACAGTCAATTCACTTTACAGTGTGTTCTGTGAAGCGCTTTGGGACGTCCTCCCGACGTGAAAAGCGCTATATCAAATGCAAGGATTATTATTATTATTATTATTATTATTATTATTAAACTAGTCACTGGAGGCAGAGATTCTTCCCGTTTATCTCCTGGTTACCCGGCGAGCGAAAGCTCCAATGGGCCCGGTGTCCACATCACAAAGACTTTCTCTCGTTGGACTTTCCTTTTCCCGACAGTCCCGTTTAGCGGTAATAATAACCCTTGCATTCGATACAGCGCCTGATCACGCCTTCGAGACGTCTCAAATTGCTTTGCTTACAGACTATGCTGCAAAGTGAATTGACTTGTCAATAGTGGCACCCGGACCACCTTTGCACCAGCTTCTCACCTCAGGTTGCTTCACACTCAACGCTCCCGTTAGGTTTCAACCGGGCTTCCGGATTCCTCGTTGAATAAGGGCCGCGCAGGTTGTCGCTATAAACCCCGCGCGAGTGCGAGGGATCCCACGCGCACCCGCCGCCATTGTCACCTCAACGGATGAAAGGTATTTGCACGTCAGATATTTAAGTACGACTTCCTCTCATCAGGCACTGGGGTCCTTTCGAAAATGGGCATGATGGCAACTGCTCCCGTGTCTGGTCTCCAGTTAACAGGTAGGGCGTTTTTCTTGACCAAAAAAAAAAAGGCTACACAGCCCCTGACATTTCCTTGGAGTATTCGAAGGTTTGCATCGTTTTGCCCATGGTAATCATAATTAAAAATAATAATACTACTAATAACAACGATAATCCTCGCTTTGATGCAGCTCCTCATCACGTCTTCGAGACGTCTCAGAGCGCTTCACAGGATATACCGTAAAATGAATTGACTGTATACTCTGCGGGCGAAACATATGGATAATCACGTAGATTTTTTTTCACACGGGGGAAGGGGCGATGGTAAATCTTTCGATGAAGTGACATTAATTGACTCAAGTAATCCACCGAGCCACCACAAGGTAACTAACCCACTGCCCGGTGCCCTGATCTGCCTGTCGGAACTGAGACCCTCTCATTAGACAAAGCGACAAGTGTATTAAGCCGACAAAAGTCTGGATTCTGACTCGCAGATTGCTGGTTAGCAGCTCGATTCAGATTTCTTGGTTCGGTTAAGTTCATGCTGTTTTTTTTTGGCTTTGTTTTCAGCACTGCCTTGACCCTCGTCACCTCTTCATCTATATTTACCTCCCAGTGGTTCACAGTGCTTTCTGCAGCCTCTCTCTCTCTCTCTCTCTTTCTCTCTCCTATGTGGCTTTCTCCAGATTTTTGTTTCGTTTTCTCTTTCAATGTCTTGCTTCACTGCTTCCCGTTTTGCTGCGTGTTGCCCATTGCTTCCTTCCTCTCTTTTCCACCCATCCTCTTCACGGGTGGGAAGCCGAATACAATCTGAGTGAAAGAAAGCTGGGCGTTGGGTTGAATAGGGTTTGGTTGAGTTGATTATACAGCACAATTACAATACAAGCTGATGTTTATATCCAGTGCCTTTCCCATTGGAAGGATAACCCAAAGCAGCGCCTTTTGATTTAGGAGAATGTCCCAAGGCACTGGATCCGCACCCGAGCTGGTGGTCGGAATCAGGAGGGATGGAGGCCGGAGAGAGTAGGGGTAGGAACCACAGTCGAAGAGGGGGGTCTTGAGACGGGTCTTGAAGGAGGCGAGGGAGAGTGGGCGGGAGGGGGGGGGTGAGGGTCAGGTGGAGGGGCTGTGGATCAGATAGGAAGATATAGGATAACCCAAAAAGAAATGGAGCTTTGACCTCACGGCGAGGTTGGAGAGACTTTGATTCGACATCAGCAGTTTCAGTTTGACAAGCAGTGTCGGATATCAGCAGAAAACTCTCCGCTGCGTGTTCATAACGGTATTTCCTAGAGTAAGACCACGTTGAAACGATGGCCGAGGATAGCAAACACGGCCCGACAGAGCTCAGTGTCGTGCGAGAGAGCGCTTCACCTCGGACAGAGCTGTTTGCGCAACAATGAGAATCGTCCTCCAGGAATCTCTCCGACCGATGGGAACGGACAAAAGGGATTTTGGATTGCGACCTGGCGCACAACAGATTTTAGCAGAATATCCCACCTCGGCCGCGGTTTTAGTTCGGTTGGCACTCGGTCAGCTGATTTCTTTGCCGCTGCTAATAAACGTTCACCTCTATTTGCCACTTTTTTTTCTAGCCACAGTTTGTGAAGTAGAGATTAAGAGAGCGGAACTGCAGCCGAGAGAGACACTGTCGTGATGAGTTCGTGTGTATCTCGCAAAGTAGTCCATCGCCTTATGTGAAGCCCTTTTCAATGAGATTGATTTCCCTTCGCCGTGGAGGAAATTAATCTGCCAGCCACACGCAGAGTATCTCTTAAGAGTTCTGGGGCCCAACATTTCACTTGACCTCAGCCGAGACCATTCAATCTTTAATCTTGCTCAAGCAAATTCGTGATATTCGGTGTTAATTTGGAGGTCTTTTTATCCCATAGTTAAAACTAAACTCAATTTAAGAATTTTCCCAAATCCTACATGTTCGAAAATGTTAAAACGCCGGATCCTAAGGCTAAGACAATGAGTTTCTGCGTCTCTGATTGTCACAGGTATCTCTATCTGCGTCTGTTGGCTATTTTTTGACATGTTTCAGGTTACGCAAATGTATTCACAGTTTTATCTTATCGGGACACGTCTGTGATTTGCAACGCTTTCTTCAATGGAAACGTAACTCACTTGCGCCATTATGGAACAAATCACAAATTGTCTACAGATTGTAAATTGCAATAATAAATAAAAATAAATGACAAATATTAACAATAATGATGATAATAACCCTAGCGTTAGATAATGCAACATGTAAATGACTCTTAAACGCACGAGAACAGTTTGGATGTGCCCTTTGGCCCATATGATCTCATCTTTCCAGAATATCTGTCCTAACGGCATCCCATTGCAGCTTGAAGCTGTTCTTTAAACGAGTCCACGTCTCAATAACGTGTTTCAGCAGTTGATTGCACGGTGCAAACATACTCGTGTCTGGCCTAAGCTTGTCTTGAACTTGTGCCATTTTTGTTCCGCTTAAAAGTATTTTTCAGGCTTTACTTTCTCAATCCCGTTCAGTATCTTGCACACGTCTAAAGCGTCTCCTCCTAGATGTCTCTTTTCAAGGCTGAAGAGCCGTAGGTTATATTACTGGCTCTTAACACGAGAGATCGCGTTTCAGGTTTTTAATACGTGACTGTAACTTGTGCGCTGAAGAATTTTTTTTAAGAAGGCAAAGAGTAAAGTGGAAGCAGAATTTTTTTAAAGAAAAATAAAGACCGTTACTTCCATCAGGGAGTTTGTATAGTCAAGTTCTATTACCGGGCACAAGAATGTGCAGCGATTTTCATTTGGAGACAATAGGGTCTAATCCAGGAAAAAGTAAAGAAAGGGAAATTATCTTTCGGGTCTGTTTGACCCCTAACCCAGTGTCAACTTTGAGCGTCGAATAGGGCTTACCTGTTAATCAGCCACTTACAGGCCACTGAGACTGAATCATCGAGTTTAACACACCGCAGAACAAGGTTTTGCTCCGCTAACCCTCACCCTTTTGGTGCTTGTTTGAAAGCTACTGTGGATTCTGCTTCTGCTACACTGTTTTTTGGTGGTGCTTTCCAGGTCCCGACAATAATAATAATAATAATAATAATAATCCTTGCATTTGATGTAGCGCCTCGTCACGTCTTCGAGACGTCTCAAAGCGCTTCGCAGAATACACTGTTGAGCGAATCGACTGTATAGTTGGTGCATCAGTTTTCAGCAGCCCATTGCGCCCGGCAGCGTCCCCACAAACAGTCGTGGGTGGGGTGACCACAATTTTTTTGAAAGGAATTATTACCCTCGAGAACCCTCAACTCGGTGTAAAGCAAAATCTCCTCGCCTCTGAATAACGCAAAGCAGTATTATTATTATTATTATTATTATTTCAAACGCTTGGCATTCTTGCTATTACCCGGAGGTGAATGCCCACCCACCCACCTGCCCGCCTCACCCCGGAGGGGTTCGTTCATGACTTGTTTTGCCTTTAGTATTAGTTGGACTATAACCTGACAACCGCTTGCCTTGTTCCCTGCAGCACCCAAGGAAAATGAAGAGCATGTGTTCAGAGAGCGGATGCTACCCAGGAAACGGCAAGGAGCTGTCCGACGAAGGGTCCACCAGGTCAACGGGCACAAGTTCATGGCCACCTACCTGAGGCAGCCCACCTACTGCTCACACTGCCGGGACTTCATCTGGTGAGAGAAGAGGCGCATTTATCAGTACATCCTAACAGCGCAGAGCCACTTGGTTCTTTCACGTCAGGAGGACATCCCAAGTCGCTGGTGATGGTTGGGATCAGGAGGGGTGGAGGGCTGGGAGGGTAAGGGTGGGAGGGTGATCGAAGGCACGGGATAATAAAGAGATTTTCCCAGGAAACCGTTTAGCTCTTTTGGGGAGAGAAATTCCGTCTGGATCGAGATTTACTTTGATTTTCTTAGGATTTTATAATGCATTCAGAACTTGGCAAAGTGTTGAGTTCAGTTTTATCTTTGAAGCCAGTTAGTTTCCTGCAGTTCTGGCTTTGAAATTAAGAAGAAGAATTCTGGACGCATTGAAATACTAAGAAAATAGAGTAAATCTAGACGTGGGTGGAATTTCTCCCCCATGGCATCTATGTCAGCTCTCAGAAAGTTATCAACGTTTAATCCCACATCCCCCCATCTGTCCTCCGTACATTTTTATATCAAATTTTTTTTGAATCCTTGTGAAATATTTGGCCAATTTCCTTTTAAGAGTTGTTACGCATTCTGCTTCAATCGTTCGAGAATTCAACCAGATCACAGGTAGAATGGGACCTTCCCGGGTAAAAATTCCATTCAGTACCTTTGGCGATGCATGACTGTAATCGGAAATCCCATTAAAAGCTGACATTGACAAAGAAAAAGATAATAAAAACATAATAATACTATTAACAACCATAATAACACTTACATTCCTTTTACATCAGGAGACATCCCAAAGCACTTCAGAGAACATACTGCAATGACTGTGTGTGTTTTGTGGGAACGCTCAGATAATAATAATAATAATCATTGCATTTTGATATATCGTCTTATCACGTCTTCGAGACGTCTCAAAGCGCTTCACAGAATACACTGTAAAGTAAATTGCCTGTACATTTTGTGGGCTTTTAAAGCCGAATGGAATTATTACCTCTTCATGTCCTAACAAATCCACTGTGCAAAAAAGTTTCAATTATCGTTTCAATTATCACATCAGACGCCACGATAAGCATTTGCCGACGTGACAGCAATAATCCAATTGAAGTTGTTCTACTTATTTGCAGGGGAGTGATTGGTAAACAAGGATACCAGTGTCAGGGTAAGTGATCGATTTCAAATCTGTGGGCCTAAAATTCCTCACGGTCGGAGCCTATAAGACCATGCTTGTCTTAAAGATTTGGGTTGAATTGTGGAAAATTATTCGGTCCAGCCTTACTTTGGAAGCTGGCTTGCGTTTTAAGACCTCTGGAAAAACAGTTTCAAAATTGATTGAGAAATTTCCGCCTTTCCGTGCGGGCTTAAAGTTTAAGGCAGAACATTTTTACGGGCCGAGACGAGGAATGTTGGGACCTTCCGTGTCTAGACTTTGTTGCTGCTGTGGCCTACGTTGCATCCGCCCCTCTCCCGACAGATTCCTTGGAAAAGCGAAAGCAGGAATTGATTCAAGAGGTTCGAGGACGGGACGAGTTTTTGGAGTTTGTGAAATTGGCCGTCGCGTCAAATTTGCCGCACAAATCCCGCAAGGACTGTGCTCCGCTGATAAATCAAACGGACTGTAGCTTCCTGAGAGGCCCAGTTCAGTGTGTTTGCTTTTGCCACCACAGCACTGGTTGAATGGACGTTGCAAAGGCCCGTGATGCGCGCTTTGTTTTGAATCGATCGCCCCGAGGGGATATGTGGTACATCGAGAGCACCGGCTAAACGGTCGTGGTCCATTATTTCACAACTGTTGGCAATGTGTGCTCTCGTTTGATCACGCTTACGCAATTACCGTTCAGCTTTCGGACCCTTTGGGAAGAATATATAATAAATGGGCAATATCACATTGGTAACAAATGCATTACTTTATTTTCGTTGGGGTGTTGGGTGGGGGGGGGGGTGGCGTTGGGGGGAAAAGAGCAGGAACAATAACTGTTAGGTGGTGGTTACTTGGGAGAAGGTTAGAGATCTGCAAATTAAAATATACTCCCTGTAGGATAACTGGAAAGATCGGCTCCCATCACAGAGGAGATATTCAGAGCCTTGTGATGCTAAATGCGGATCTGCAGCCAATTGTTGTCGGGGAGGGCGGGGTGGGGCGGGGGGCGGGGTGGGGCGGGGTGGGGGGGGAGTGGGGAGTGGGGAGGAATTTGCACGTCATCCTGGCAGGTTTCTTCCTACTCGGTCGTGTCCTTCTAAACGTGAGCTGTAGATGTACCGTTTATCTGTCAATTCCAGGTACTGAGGTTTGGCCCTCTGGGTTTCATGCTAAACCCGTTTTAAGGGGCTTTTGCAAAGTGCCAGCCAGTCACAATCTGGGCGGAGGTAAAAATGGACCTCAGTGTAAATGACCACTAGGTGCTTCCCCACTGGACCCTTCCTTTACAGACCAGATTTCCGCTGTCGCTGTTGTTATCGCTTTGAAGTGAGGTGAGTTTGTATCGTAGTCGTGCGCTGACACCTAGTGGTCATTTACAATGGCATCGGGTGATACTTTAAACCTATCCCACTATAAAAAAAAGCTTCCCACACAGAAGAGAGGCCATTCAGACCATTGTGTTTATATTACACTGGTGCTAATTCTTCCCCACACCTCCACCCCCCCCCCCACCCCACCTTACTGGAGCTCTCCAATTCAGTCCTATTTCTACCGGCTTTTCCCCCCCCCCCGTTTCCTGGCTCCCGATCTTTCGCAGCAAACGATTGCTGCTTAAATTTTACCTGCTGTAATGATAATAATCCTCGCATTCGATACAGCCGCCTTCGCCTTATCACGTCTTCGATTCATTCCGTGGCCGTTTTCCGGGATATTGCTGTGCACAAATTGGCCGCCGTGTTTGCCCACCAAAACACTCCAGTCACTGCACTCTACTGTATATCCCGTGAAACACATTGGGATGCCCTCCCGACATGAAAGACTCTCTATAAAATGCAAGGATTCTTATTATTTCTGTTATTAATGATCTGTAACCTGTAAAATCAATTGTATGTTACCAGTGGAGCCATTTCACGCCCTCTGTTTGAAATGCTTCCTGACTCGGTGGCCATTTCTAATAAATCCTTTCCCTCCTTTATCTACGGGAATGAGAAATTATTCACTGGGCTGTGGCTTTGTATATACACAACGGGAACTGATTTGCCGGTTGGGTTAACAACCTGCGTACAAAGTGTGTGGGTTGTGGGAATCGCAGATGCTCTTAATTATGTAATTATAGTAAAAAGGTTGCGAGAAGCTGTTTGCTATAGATATAATTAAGGTCCCTTGTATGGGTTTGCACATGGTTACCCTAACTTGCAAATTGCACGATTCTGCAACCCAAATCTCAAATTAGAGGCAAAATACGATATGTTGTCGGGAGCAATGTTTTTTTTTAATCAGAAAAATGCAGGTTCTCACCGATACGGAATGGAACTTTTTTTTCTAATGACAGGCGCCCACAGATTCATCAGTATAAATGTATACCGACCTTGTGTGTTTCTTTAACCCCCCCAAATCGTAAGCCGTGGCTGACAAGGACAGCACGTTTAGCGATGCACGCCGCAGTTGAAGCTGACTCTGAACATCTTCTCTCCCGCTTTTATCTGCAGTTTGCACCTGTGTTGTGCATAAGCGATGCCACGGACTTATCATAACCAAGTGTGCTGGTTTGAAGAAACAGGAAACACAGGACGAGGTATGTGCTTTGCCTGATATCATCAAACATCATTGGGCTAGTTGTTGTTGTTGTTGTTGGAATGGCCACGGGCTATTCATTCTTTTTAGTATCAACAACAACAAATTACACTTGCATAGCGCCCTTCACATCGGAAAGACATCCCAGGGTGCTGGATTTATAGTAAAGCGCCCGGCACTATAGCACCCTGGTGCTAGTCAGGGTTTTTTTTGGACCAGGGCTGGGAGTTGGGGTGAGGAGGGGTGGAAGGGAGGGGTGTGTGTGGTGGGGGGGGAAAGGTGTGGTTGTAGGTGATCGAAGACCCGGTCAAGGAGGAAGGTCTTCAGACGGGACTTGAAGGAGGGCGAGAGAGGGGGTGAGGCGGAGGGATTGCGGGATCAACACAGAATGAGGTGAAATTTACGGGGTTTAGAATGTTTCGTGTGATAACCAGCGCCAGGACAGTCCCCGATTACTCGGTGCGAACCCCTATTTAGACCGCGAGCAACTCCGAAGTAGATCGCGTTATGGAGGAGATTCTGCGTGACAGCCTGACCCATTTCTGGTTACCGGCAAAAGACCGCTAACTGCAAAACGTCTCCGTGAATATGGCCTTCAAGACAGACCCCAGTATTTGTGCTCCGAGCATCAGCTCTTCCCGCCTTTACCTTATCCCTCTATTTGTAAATAAACTTACGTTGGTTTAATTAACAAAAAAAAACCTGTGTCAGGTCATGATACTTTTGTCCTCTGAACGTGACTGGCACATTAGATTCATCACTCTAACGGACTGGTTGTTAAGTCCTAAATGGCGTAAACGGAGAGTGTCAGATAGGGGCCTCGACGGAGATGAGAGTCCGCTCGTGGGCGTGGTTTACGCACACCTGAATCCAAAAAAGTGAGCGCGTTGTAAACTTACGGGACAGGCTCCCTGGGGTTAGACAGACGGTGGAGGCAGAAAGTCTTGTTCGTTTCACGAACAGATGAGATAGATTTCCGCTGGAAAACAACACCTCGGGATACGGTATATAGTTGGGGACACGCGACGGCCAGGTTGGTGGAAGGCGAGCGAGATGGACCTCGGTTCCTCTTTTGCCCCGGCAAATCCTTACATGCTTACGTCGAACGTACTAAATTGTGGTATCTGCAATGGTCTTTGTTTCGTTTCCGGTCCTGTATATATTACTGGGTTAAAAAGCCCCCTTTGTGTTGTGTTGTGTTGTGTTTTGTTTTGCGTGCAGGTGGGCTCTCAACGTTTCAGCGTCAACATCCCTCACAAGTTCAGCAATCACAATTTCAAGGTGCTCACCTTCTGCGACCACTGTGGCTCTCTGCTCTGGGGCCTGATGAGGCAAGGGCTGCAGTGCAAAGGTAAAACACATCGCCAGCGCCTCCCGCCTCTCGGGCACCCGTTCCATCCGCTTCGTGGAGCCCCCCGTAGCTCGGTGGTCAGAGCTCTCGCCTCGCAAGCGAGAGGAACCGGGCAGGGGGTGAAACGTCGGGCAAGTTTCCTTACTCCACACACACGCCTCTGTTTATCTGGCAGTGAGCAGGAACCCGGTTGTTAGTCGATTGCTGAATCACTTTTCCGGAGGGTAATAATCCCTTCAAATAATAATAATAATAATTTGATCACTTCAATCCACGACTGTTCGTGGGACGCTGCCGTGCGCAATTGGCTGCTGCACTTTGCCCACAAAATATACATAACATAACATGTAGGAGCAGGAGTAGGCCATTCGGCCCTTCGAGCCTGTCCCGCCATTCAATCATGGCTGATCTTCTAATCTAACTCCAGCTAATAACCTGACGCTGCCTTATCCCCATATCCTTTAATCCCTTTGAGTTCAGCAGTTCCTACTCCTGGTAGCTCTGAAGTATTAACAAATCCTAGAGTTGTGTGATTGTTCAGGGCCTGAGCGATGGCTGCAAGGGCTAACTTGATATCATTTGGTGTTGTTCAACAAAGTAACAGGCAGCTTGTGTGTGAGTAAGTTGTTTAGTGTTGTGCACAAAATTTACTGTTCCACTCCCCTGTCCTGTGCAATAAGTTTGCACTATGCAGGACAGTCGTGGGTTGTACAAAGGATGTGGTGTTAACTTGAACCATATCTACAGTTAGTCAGGGATTTGTGAACAGTGTTGGCAACTTGGAGTTTACTCTTCGCAGTTGGTGGTTTTTTCCATTTCGAGCAGTAATCAGAGACTGAAGTGCTCACACCATCAGACAAGTTTGTCTGCCGCCATGTGCTTGAGTCTTAAAGGAGAGACACGGGTGGATTTGACTCTGAACTTGGCTTCAGTGAGTGTGCTTTTTGGCAGCCGGGACAAATAGAAGCCCCCTTTTTGCATATTGCGACATGATGATAATAATAATAATAACGACAATTTGGTCACTCAATCCACGACTGTTTGTGGGGACGCTGCTGTGCGCATTTGGCATTGCTGTGTTTCGCCCACAAATAAACAGTCGATTCACTTTACAGTCTATTCTGTGAAGCGCTTTGAGGCGTCTCAAAGACGTGAAAAGCGCTATATCAAATGTAAGGATTATTTTTTATTATTATGAGGCTTGAACCCACAATCTTTTGATCTTAAACAAGATTATTGCTACAAGTGAGCAAGGTTAATATGATGTATAATCTAACCATATATGTCCATTGTGTGGTAAGTGCTGTATTCGTAAATGTTTCCTGTGTTTACATGTATAGATTATGTATTGAGAAAGCATTCAGCCCTTACTACCTCACAGCGTAACGTGCGGACTGCTATTCAAGTGCACACTTTGTGGTTTGGGTAGCCAGCCTATGCGATTTTTCCATTTCCTGATAGACTACAAGATCTGCTGCGTACTAATTATAGTACAGGGTATCTGTCTGGGAGAATTGTACGTGACATCTGCCTTGGGGTTTCTGAAAGGTGATCAGGAGGGCACTGGTGTGCGGTTCAACCACTATTAATCTGTACCAACTTCCTTTTCTTCAGATAACCGCAGTGTAACTGTCAATTCTTGGTGCCTGCGTATGGCCCGAAACCTCTGATGGGGTCATGCGTTTCTGTTCTCAAAATGAGTGGCATTCACACATAAATAACTTCCTCCAACAACCCCCAATCTTCAGTTCCATTTGTGCGCTCTTTTACTTAAAAGAGAAAGTAAATAGAAACATATCATTTCAGTGCAGAAGGAAGGCCATTTGACCTATCGTGCCACACTTCCACTTTTTCAAGTTGGCCTTTATTATTAATCCTAACTTTTTTTTCCCCCAATATTCCTTAACGTCTTTGCTGTTTAACCAGTTCCCTTTTAAATGATTCTATTAATCCACCCTCAACAGTCACTTGTAGTGAATTCCACACCCTAACAGCAGTCTAAATGAAATTCTTGCTAACACCTCCCCTCTTCGTTTGCCAACAAACCCAAGGATGTGCTCCTGACACTGATCCCCCGATGAAAGGAGATTCCTTTTTCCATTAACCTCACGTCCTTTCAACTTACCAGTCGTGCAGCTACATGATAAGATTTTCAAGTATATTCCGGGGACTTATTTTAGCAAAGACTGAAACTGAACTCGGACCAATTCTACTCATGCTGGTGGTAGACCAATCCATATTCCCACAGAGTATACAGCCGGTTCACTTGTCAGTAGATTTAGGAAGCGCTTTGAGATTTGAGATGTCTCAACGACGCGATAAGGCGCTATATCAAATGTAAGGATTATTATTATTATTGCCCCCGTTCACCTCCATCTCCATTATCAACCTACTGAAATGAAGCATATTCTAACCCTCTGCTCGTCCAACCCAATACTGAACCTGTCTTTTTAATTGCGACAAACCACTAGGCAGATGGTTTCATCAATTCATCAACAGTAACCAATGGATCTAACTTTTGATCAGCAGTCTGTACACTGCACTATATAATAATTACATCTTGTAGTTCCTTGCTCCTGTAATAATCATTTTGCACTTAACCATAATGAACCGCACCTGTCAGTCCGGCTATTCTAAAGCCTGAAAACCTTCTGAATCTGATTGCATTATTCCTCTTCATTTCCTCTGCCCCCAGTATCGAGGCTGTGCCTTTCACCCATTATTTGGGCTGTGTGTATGGTGGTTGGCAAAAGGGGAAGTTAAGGCTGGGAGAAATCATCTTCTTAAATAAATAAATTAAGAGTTTTTTTTTGCACGTTTCATAGAACTGGTTAGATTTTGGTCAAGTGAAGAAATTGTCTGGAATAACAAACAGTAGGTGGAGGAGGGGGTTGATTATCCACGGATTGGTAACCTCGGTGATTTTATCGGTCATTGTTTGGAATGGGAAATCCTGTGTATATAAACGTGTGACAAGAGACTGTTTATGTTTGGAATGGGTGCCCACAAAACACACCATCACCTCACTTTACAGAATATCCTGTGAAGCGCTTTGGACGTCTCAACGATGTGATAAGACGCTATATAAAGTGCAAGGATTATTATGATAGACATGGAAGTATTATACCATATTTTTCTTATTTTGGGGCCAAATAGATGAATTGCAGTGGTCTTTTCCAGCAGCTTACCTTTCTGCGCATGATTATTGCAAGTGTTGTTATTCGGCGACATATCTCAATATCTCTAATTATTTCCTGCAGAAAACCAAAAGGGATGTGAACAACTTTGATCAAGATTTCACCCGTGAGGAGCCTGTGTTGACACTAGTGGATGATGCCATCGTTAAGCAAATAAACCAAGAGGAATTCAAAGGTTTCTCCTATTTTGGTGAAGAATCACTGGCGTAGAACATGACTCAGGTGTCAGCGCCTACATGCTGTTACCATTCGCGATGCTCTGAGAAATTTAGCAAGTCATTGGGATCGAGTATTATTTTTAGTACTGTGTAGTACCTGCATTGCCCTGCAGTAATGAGTGTTTGTAGACTTAAAATTTCTTTCTCCGATATCTCCCCTTTAAAGGAATGCACTCTTGTTTTTGTCGTTTTCTATTATTTAATAAAGAAAATCATTTTCTTATGTTACGGTAGCAGTTCGGAAGAGGGGCCGTGCAAACATTCGTGAACTTAACACACTGCCGTATTTTCAGGCTCTTCTGACCACCCACCAGGGGGGCTCTCTTCAGCCAATATTGGCTTTGTCGCTTAAGGAGAACAGTATTAACGGTGTGTACAAGTTTTGACTTGCGGTAACTGCGGGTTGGTTCGCACGGCAGGCACTCCAGCGCTAAGAAAGTTGGGAAGTCGTGCATTTCTGTGACCGCGGCTCCTGGAACCAAAACCGGAGCTCGTCGCAAATTGGAGCTCACAGGAAAGTCAAGTCATCGAGCCAATTCTCCCAACAAACTGTTGATTATTCTGCTGGCTTGGGAACTGCTCAGGCAATCAGAAATTGGTTTCGAACTGACTTATTTTGGACCGGGAGGAGCGGTTGGGGGGGGAGGGGTGGGTGGAGATGTTACACTGTTTTAAGCTGTCACTTTTTTGTGTGAAATTTCTAGTTAGTTATGGCATTGGACATGTTATTGCACACCTCAGTGTTACCTACCTACCTACCTACCTATCGGGAGCATCCAAGTCAGTAGTGTTGGGAGTCGGTCACCATTAATATACTCAACACTCGGCTACTAGCTGACCTCCCGACTGCAAGCAGTAATATTTTACTGTAAGGTAGATCTTTTAAGAATTACATTGCACTGAAATGTAGGCTTTATTCACAACCGATCCCTGGTCACCAAAAACAGTCATCCTTTGAGTGATTATTGCAGTGTGTTACTTTGGCACATTGCAGCAATCCTTGTTTATACTACTGTTTCCTTAGCTGTTCTATTATTTCAAGTGCAAACTTTATTTGAATATTATGAATAGGCATGAAAGAAGACTGACGATCAAAATTGATACAAGACTGACAGAAGGTATGAAGGTGTGTGGGTTGTACGGCCTCTGTACGAGTGAATCTACAACTGGTTGAGTAAATGATGCTCTATATATATATATATATATATTTACATATATATATATAGACTCAATGGTTTTGAGTAGGTCAGTTCCGGTTGTACTCCATTTTTAATGTTTTTGTATGTGAATGTATGCGCATGTGCACACGGAAACGGCTGTGCGGGTGTGTGTTTGTATGCGTGTGTGCGCGTGTGTGTGTTTGTGAAGCATGCTCTCACGCATGCCTGTGTGCCCCCTTGAAGTCACTTACTATGAATATTACTGGACTGGTTTCCCAGTCACTGGGATCCATTTTAGCTGATGCATCCGGATTCATTCGATGCACGGAAGTACTTGTTGAGTGGCAAAGTAGCACTAAAAGAGCTATTTGCCTTTTGTACAGGCAAGAATTTGTAAATAGTGTTTGCTGTGAGGCCTGTGGAGTTCATTGAACATAGAGGTATCAAGTGATGCATGTTCAGGCATATTATATATATATTATATATAAATATATATATATATTCGTCTCTGAAAAAAGTAATTAATGATAAATGTTCATGTGCAATACTCCGTATGTGTATTTGTTCAAGTTGACGTCTAACAAGTTGAGTTTTATTTTCAAAAAAGTCATAACCTTGTATTAAGCTATACTGGATCTCTTTTACAGTGCTTTAAGCTGTATTGAGGATGTTATTCCGCATATAGGATGGAAAGTAGTGCAAGCATTTGCGGTGGTTGTTACGATTGCTCTCTTAAAGCGCGTCCGTTTAGAAATCCAGTCGAAGGGAGGGTGGGGATTTGGGATTATTTATGTTACGAGAAGCCTTTATTGTAACACAACACAATCGGAGCAGTTCTCTTAGACAAGGGCATTCCTCCAGCTTCTTCAAGTACGCTCTTCAATGTACTGCATTACAGCATGAACAATACTTGGTGATATTAATATTAATTGGGCCTCATGCTTAAGCGCACTTGCATTTGGTTTGTGCAGTGTATTTGACGAGTAAACATAGGCGGTCATGGTTGGTTCACTGTAAACTCTTTGCATAAACATGTGTTCCTTCATCGCCAGCTTTGCTTGTCTGAACATTTTGTTATTGGTTTACACACTCTGTTATTTTTAGTCTGTTACTCTCATACTTATCTCCAACCCCACACTTGATTGTTAAAAAGATTCTTCCTTGACACACGGACGCACCATTGTGCTTAGCTGCGCGTCTGTCTGTCTTGTCTGTCTTGTCTGTCTGTCTGTCTTGTCTGTTTGAGCTGCCCTTCTCCATGTATCTGCCAGTCTACATACAGAAGCCAAGTTCAAAATGCCAAACCAAGGCAGTATGTCCGTCTCCTCGCTTCTGTTTCATCCTCTCAGTACAAAAATAGAAACGCATGTATGCTTTACGAGGAGCGATAAATATTAATAAAAAAAAGTGTTTCGTCTCCAAAAAATGAGGCTCGAAAAATACCTCTTTTTAATTTAAAAAGAAATGTGCAAAACATCGATCTAGCTGAATAGAGTCGGTTTCAGTTTAGGTTTTTTTTTTGTGTGATGCTTTGTTTGTACAGAAGTATTTTGTCCATGGATGTATTGTAAATCTGCCATCCAGTTAATGTTATTTCATTGTAAACATTATTATTGTGTGCCAAATGTACTGTATTCAACATGACGTGAATGTGTACCGTTTGCTTCAAAACCCAATAAAAAAATAATGATGTCGAGAAGGTTCCTTTTTTTTTAAAAAAAAGCTAATAAGTTTAATAGCTCTTTGCTGTACAACGTTTCGATTCCCGGGCAGGGCGAAACTTTGGGCAAGTTTCCTTACTCCACACGGCTCTCTTTCCCTAGCAGTAAGTAGGAACCCGTTTGTTAGTCGATTGGCGGATCTCTTTTCCGGGAGTAATAATCCCTTCAAAAAGATAATAGTAAATTGGTCACTTAATCCACGACTGTTTGTAGGACAATTGGCTGCCACGTTTCGCCCACAAAATATACAGTCAATTCACTTTATAGTATAGTGCGTGAAATGTTTTGAAACGTCTTGAAGGCGTTATTACATTCTATATCACAGGTAAGTATTATTATTTGTAGAAATTAATCTGTGCGGACTGTGTTGCACTGTACTCAGCTACTTTACCAGCGATCGACACAAAAACTTTCAATGGAGCTGTGGGAACGCAGGGGCTCAGTGGTGTTTCAATGCCAACGAGCCATTAGGTGAATAGAGATATTAGTGATTCCTCAGCTGATCTTAATTGACAACAAGCTGCGGATTTGAATGTTCACTCGCTCGCAACAAGAGACGTTGAGCCAAGGAGGGGTTAGAAAATTGAAATCTTATTTTGCAGCAGATTCCTTGCGTTTCACGTAGCTCCTCATCGTGTTGAGACGTCTCAAAGTGCTTCACAATATACTGTAAAGTGGATTGACCGCATATTTTGTGGACGAGAATTTTCTGAGCTGGTTTATCCATCTCCAATAGAAACAGTCGTCGGCTATTCAGCCCCTCGAGCCTGTAGCTCAAGTTCAAATTACCTGCCCTTGCCCAGTATCCCTTAATACCCTGACCTAACAAATATCTATCTACCTCAGTCTTGAAAATGTGAATTGATCCAACATCCGCAGCTCTTTGGGGGAGAGAGTTCCAGATTTCCACTATCCTTTGGTTGAAAAATCTCCACGTTAAGTTCTAATTGTCTTCCAATCCCCAGGAACTTAAAGGACGCCCCCCGCCCACCCAAAAAAAAAAGGTCCCTTGCCCAAATAAGCAAGTTACACCCAATCAACCACATTCAGTTACATTGGCACCAGCTGCTCAATCTTCCAACAAGTCAAACTCTGGGGAACAGAAAGCCCTCTGATGAAATGACTCCCTGTTTCATCAAAGGACGGAAAAGTTCGACATCTGATGCTGGTTCACGTTTCTCCAGGTTCGGTTCTGACCAGACGAAAGTATGCTCCTGTGGTGTACAAGGATTTCGCTTTGGTGCTGAATAGACAGACGTTTGCATGAAAACTCGGTGCGAATGAATGAGTCAGAATCAGTGGAAAATGACTTGGTTCCCGGACAAAGTTAGCTGTCGCCTTGGGGTGTGTGCTCGATTAAGGAAACTTTAAAGAGTAAGTAACTGAGAGGAAAATGTGAGCTTTGAACTGATCCATATAGGGTGCATTATCCACACATTTTTGGGGGGCATAAGTTGTTAATCAGCAATCTCTTCTCCCACCATCCCACTCCTGAAGGCATTTGTTTTTCCCCATTCAACAGAGGTCTGTTTCCACTGGCCGGAGGATTTTTTAAAAAAATACTTTGTAAATACAGTACACTAAAGAGACTCCGCAAACAGAATATCCGAATCGATTTGATTTTGGAATTGTAGCAGATATCGCAGGGAGGGCTTTAATAATTTTGTTTAAAAAACAAAACGTCGTTGTTTAAATAGCTTTGACGTGCCGTGGCTCTGCAGTGAAATTTCGAGCTGGAAACTCCAGTGTCCGATTGATTTTTTTCTCCCCCCCACCCCCCATAGTCTTTCTGAATTACTGCCGTCAGCAGGGCAGTCAGGATGTGACAATAAGTGAGGCAAGCTACTTTCTCACGGGCTACGAGTGAAAATTGGAGAGTGAGTCACTGTTTGTAACAGACAAAGTTGCTTTCAAGTGCGAGCAAGATGCTTGATGCAGAAAAGTAGTCGGGTAGGTGGGTGGGAGCGAGAAACCCATTCATCACTGCGTGGAGATAGAATATTGCTTCTATTAGGAAAATTGTATATTGCACTAAGCAATCGTATGATTCAAAATGTACTTTTTAATAAGGAGGTGGAGAGATCATCAATAGATAAGTGAAGGTCACAGAC